GATCTTGGCTCACTGCAACCTCCATCTTCCGGGTTCACGCCATTCTCCTGCCTTAGCCTCCTAAGTAGCTGGGACTACAGGCACCTGCCACCACACCCGGTTAATTTTTTCTTTTGTATTTTTAGTAGAAACGAGGTTTCACTGTGTTAGCCAGGATAATCTCCATCTCCTGACCTCATGATCCACCACCCTCAGCCTCCCAAAGTGCTAGGATTACAGGCGTGAGCCACCGCGCCCGGCCTAAAGGTTTTTTTTTTAAGGAAAAGAAGCAAACATAAAATTGTTTAGATTTACCAGCTGTTAGCATTTTGTCCCAATTGCTTTAGCACTTTCTATCTATATATACATACAGCTACTCACACACACGTAGAACATTTTGGTGGTTAAAGCATTTGATATATGCAAATATCATGACATTTCACACCTGAATATATCAGCATGTATCTCCTCAGAACAAGACCATTCTCTTACATATTCACAAGACAATTAATACAGAAAATTTATTATTGATGCAAAACTATGTACAATTTAATTTATGGTCCTCAGTGCCATTTCTTTAAAAAAAAAAAAACCCAATATTTTAAAATTTCTAAAAAAATCACAATGACTCCCATTCCCTCTTTTCCCCATCCCCTGGCAACTAACATTCTGCTTTCTGTTTGTATGAATTTGACAACCCTAGGTACCTCATATAAGTGGAGTCGTACAATATTTATCCTTTTCTGACTGGCTTATTTCACTTAGCAGGATGACCTCAGGGTTCATCCATGTTATAGCATATGTCAGAATGAATAATATTTCATTGTATGTATATAATTATATATTTTTTATTCATTCATCTGTCGATGGACATTTGGGTCATTTCCAGTTTGACTATTGTGAATAATGCTGCTGTAAATATGGTGTACAGATGCCACTTTAAGACCCCGTTTTCAGTTCTTTGGGGGTATATAATCTGAAGTAGAATTGCTGAATCACATGGTAATTCTATGTTTAAGTTTTTGAGGAATGATCATACCTTTTTTTGTAGCAGCTGTGTCATTTTTCATTTCTGCCAGCAATGCACACGGGTTCACATTTCTCACATCCTCTATCATTTCGTGTTTTCTGATTTTTTTTTTTTTTAAATAATAGCCATCCTAAGGAGTATGAAGTGCTATTATTACTTTTTTTTTTTTCTTTTTTTGAGACAGTGTCTCACTCTGTCACCCAGGCTGGAGTTCAGTGGTGTGACCTCAGCTCACTGCAATGGCCGCCTCCTGGGTTCAAGTGATTCTTCTGCCTCAGTCTCCCAGGTAGCTGGGATTAGAAGTGCCTGCCACCATGCCCAGCTAATTTTTGTATTTTTAGTAGAGATAGGGTTTCAACATGTTGGCCAAGCTGGTCTTGAACTCCGGACCTCAAGTGATCCACCCACCTTAGCCTCCCAAAGTGCTGGGATTCCAGGCATGAGCCACTGTGCCCAGCCAAGTGCTCCTATTTCTGAAGCATTTTCATATTATATAATGACATTCATTTTTAATGTCTTTATGAAGTGGATGTAGAAAAGGTGAATTTTATAAAGCAGATAGAATACATGATTCTAAGATTCTGTGCAAAGTAATGAACAATTAAATTTCCTTATATTTGGGAAATGGTTTATCATTTACAAGGGACTTTCACCCCAAATAAATATTTCATCATTGTTCCTCACAGTGAAACCACAAAGAAAGGCAGATATGTCATTTATTAGCCTTACTTAAGGGGGAAAAGAAACTGAGACTCAGAAATAGTAAGAAACTTCTATTGCAAGCAGTCTCAGCTCATTTTTAGAAGAATGAAGGATAATATAATGAAGAAATAAAAGGTAACATTTTCAAGACCTCACACCACTAGAAAGTAGCAGAGTGCATGTTCTGATCCCATATCTAATGTTTTTTCTCCCACACTACAGTGGCCTCTGAACAGGGGAACGTCTGGAGGGATGGGTTTTGGTGGTAGCTTCTCAATGTAAACTTACTGTGAATGAGAAAGATCTGTATATGTTTTCACTTCTAGTTAATCTCCCGAGTGAAGCCTTTTCTTGACAGGAGGAGGGTGTTTGCTTTTACTACATGACTGTTGCCCCCTGGGGTTTGGAAGAGAAAAAACGTCTCTTCTACCCCTTCTCCACACAAAAAACACAACTCACACACACACGAGCACACGTGCACACCTCACATTCACACACCACACGTGCACATGTGCCTCAAACACAGACATGCGCGTCTACCACATGTACCCCCAGCACACACACACACCCCCCACATAAACATCACATGCACGCACGCCACACACACACTCCACGCGTGCTCACAAACACACCCTACTCCTTCCATCCTCCCTGCTTCCAGGAGGGTGTGACCTGTCAAGTTTCTAGAGGGAGGCCAGTTCCCTCCAGGCCACACTGCTTTGTCGATGTTGACTTCTGATACACTTTGGCCTTATGGAGTGGGATGAAGAAAACTAGGAAAATTTCCGGCTTAAACAAAGTCAGGCCTTTAGACTGTGGTTTCATTTTCTGTTGGTTTGTTTAAAGCATTGTGAATCTGTCAATAGCCAGGTACACCCACATCACAATACGGGCAAAATCGAACGCTTTCTGGAAAATCTTCTCTGATTTGCCCTAATCTGTCTCTCTCCATTGACCACAGTGGCGAATGTTGACTCAGGACCAGGAGATAGTGGACAGCCCCACCTAAAAGTTTTGGGGTTTGGGGGCTACTTTGAGTCCCAGAAGAGAGCCAGGGTCTCACTATCATCCTAGGCCATGGAATGATGTGCTCTGCCGTGCAGGCAGAATGTCAGGATTCTTTCATCAACTGACACAGTCAGTGAGCACCTGTAGTCCCAGCTACTCAGGACTGAGGCGGGAGGATCGCTGGAGCCCAGGTGTTCCAGGTTGCAGTGAGCTGTGGTCGGGCCACTGCATTCCAGCCTGGGCAACAGAGCAACACTCCATCTCTTAAAAAAAAAAATTCCCGTCATTGTCAAACCACCCACCTTCAAGATTTTTACACGTCAAACCACCCATCTTCAAGATTTTTACACATCAGATTAGGCCAAGTAATTTGATAGCACTTGGATAGCAAGGTTGGAAAAGCAAAGAGGAGGAAGGGTGGTAGGAACTCAGTTACATTAACTCCAGTGTTCATTACTTTGTTTCATTTTGGCTTTTTCTCCCCTAGCTCCTTCTTCACATCGTAGAAACATGGCATATAGGGCTAGAAGCAAAAGCAGAGATCGGTTCTTTCAGGGCAGCCAAGAATTTCTTGCGTCTGCTTCAGCGTCTGCTGAGAGGTCCTGCACGCCTAGTCCAGATCCGAGCAGCCACAGGGCTTCCCTGGAGGACACGCCTGTGGATGATCTCACCCACAAGTTCACGTATCTGGGGAGTCAGGATCGCGCTCGGCCTCCCTCAGGCTCGTCCAAGGCTACCGATCTCAGAGGAACAAGTCAGGCCGGAGCAAGCCGGAGGTTTTTAGAGAACGGCAGTCAAGAGGACCTCTTGCATGGAAATCCAGGCAACACTTACCTTGCTTCCAATTCAACACCAGCCCCCAAGTGGAAGAGCCCCACATCCTGGACGAATGACCAAGGCGCCAGGAGAAAGACCGGGTTTCCTCCCACGCTACCTGCCGCCCTCTCTTCTCTTGGCTCTCTGCAAACACCTGAAGCTGTGACCAGAAAGGGCGCAGGCTTGCTTTCCTCAGACTACAGGAACGTCAATGGCAAAAGTGGAACTCAGGACGTCCAGCCTGGCCCTCTTTTTAATAATAATGCTGATGGAGTGGCCACAGATACAACTTCTACCAGATCCTTAAATTACAAAAGCACAAGCAGCAGTCAGAGAGAAATATCAACACCTAGGACTCAGGATGCTGGACCTGCTTCCCGAGATGTTCAGGCCACTGGCAGAATCACAGATGATGCTGGCCCAAGAGTGGCACTTGTTAATGGTAAATACAAAGGGAAGAAACTTGGGGCTAGTGCATTTGTTCACGATACACCAAATGGCTCTAGTCAAGTGGCAGATAAAACTACTGACGTAGAAAAAACTGGTGCCACTGGTTTTGGCTTCACAATGACAGTCATGGTGGAGAAAGATAAGTTACGTTCTGGAAGTCAGAGTCTGAGGAACCTGGTCCCCACCACACCTGGGGAATCCACTGCCTCTGCACAAGTCAGCACTCTGCCTCAGTCACCTGCTGCGCTTTCCTCAAGCAACAGAGCTGCAGTATGGAGGACCCAGGGGCAGAACTGCACCCAGGTTCCTGTTTCCCCTGCCAGTGAGCTCACAAGGAAGACAACAGGCTCTGCTCAGTGTAAGTCACTGAAGGACAAACGGGCCCCTGTGTCTTGAGTCTACAGCAGAGTGGCTATGGCTGCTGGGTTTTCCTTGCATGTTCCCCAGTTCTTAAAGGGTAAAGAGTTAGAGGGTTTTGGTTAAGGGGTGGTCTGGTGAGGAGGTTGACTAGTGAAGACAGGGAACGACCAACCAGTAGAACCACAGGGAATAAGCTGCCACATTTATTGACAATAGGAATATTTCAACTATGATTTAAGAAATAAACACAACTTTCACAGGACTCTGAGGTCCACATTTTTGTTTTATGGAGGGGCTGTCTAGACACTCATGAGAAACACATAAACCATAGGAATTTTCTTGAACATGGCCTGCATTTCAGATATTCTTTCCCATTGTGAGACCAAGTGCCTTGATTTTTGGTTTAAACATTACGATCAGCATACATGCATCCTTTTTTGTTTCATAGATTCTTTATCTGATGTCACAAGTACCACATCTTCTAGGGTGGATGATCATGGCTCAAAGGAAATTTGTCTTGACCATCTGTATAAAGGTTGTCCGTTTAATGGTGAGTAACCTAAGGACTTTTCTGTAAGCTTCTACCTTTTGGCCATTGTAAATAACGCTGCTATGAACATGGGTGTGCAAATGGCTTCTCAAAACCCGGCTTTCAATTCTTTTAGAAATATACACAGAAGTGGAGTTGGGGGATCATACAGTACTTCTTTTAATTTTTTTTTTTTTTTTTTTT